ATCACAATCACACACAATAGGTCATGGTATCAAGTCTGGTTCTGTGTTTCCTGCACATACGTACATCCACTTCACATGATTACATGGTCACTCAATAATACCATATGCTGCCTGCGGGCATACATAAAAAATAAATGGCTTCGGGCATCTCACTTCCACTTACAGTCATAGTATCGAGTCCTGTAGGATACATCCATATACACTCCCGGGCGGGAGAGACCGATCCTTGGTGGTGGTTCTCATGGGTTAGGTTGTACATGCCACGGGGATTCGCACTAGCTCATATGTAACACCTACTTGGGAACTGGTTCGTCAGTGGGGCTGGTAGAGATATTGAGTGTGCCTGGCAGCCAAAGTCCTCGGGTAACAAGGCTTGCACGACTGCTTTTCCACTGGGACTGGGTAGGGTTACTCTCTAGTCTGGTGCCTGTAACTGGTGGGACTGGTAGAAATATTGCGTGTGCCTGGCGGCCGAAGTCCTCATGTAACAAGGCTTGCACGACTGCCCTTCCACTGGGACTGGGTGGGGTTACTCTCTAGTCTGGTGCCTGTAAGTCCTCCTCGGTCTATATCATCCTGAGGGCGATTGTCCTGAGTGCTGGTCATCGAGGTAGGATAGTAGTTGTAGGGTATACACTAGGGGAATTGAAGTGAGGATGGGTAGGGTGGCAGTTCCTCTGTCCTGTGCCAGTGTGCCCATTAGCTGATTGAGTAGGTATAGTACCTGGGATGGTCCACTGGGAAGCTTACTGGTTTCGGCATGGCTGGAATGTGAACAGATGGGAGCCTTGAAGTCTTAGATGGGGGGCCAGACTAGGGATAGGCGTAATAAAATACAGTCACCAGCATATCACAACCTCCCCTGGTAGCCAGAATAGTACCACGGGCTGTCCTTAGGGAAGCTTAAAAAAAAGGAAAAAAAGGATACGGTTTGTCCAATAAGAGGAATAGGGCCGCCCTATACCCTATAACCATTATGGGCAAGGCGCAACATGAAATCTCCCCTTCACAGAGAGAGGAAACTATGCTTGCAGGGGTCCCCTCTAGATAGTCTTAGGAGTAGGTAGTGGAAGGTAAAAAAACAAAAGTTGAGAGAAGAGTATAAAAAAAAAAAAAAAAAAAAAAAAAGAGGAATAGGACATGGTACACCATGCCCTGTTGAGTTCGAATCCTGATGGGACTAGACGAATGAACCCAAACACGAGGATGATTCAACATTAGTTTCCCGCCTTCTGGTGTCACACAGTTGTAGGAAACTAAACTACATGGCACATCTGGGCCGAGACCCTGGTAGGCCGGGAGGGGGAGGGGGAACACGCGCGTGGGCAGGGCCAGATGGAATCCGGAGGGGACGCGCGGGGGGGGCGGAATGGAAACAGCCAATGTCGCAGATTCTCCTGCTCCGTGGCGCTCTCCGTAGCCCTCTCCATAACGCTTTCCATAGCGCATCTCCCCTAGGTCTTTTTCCATAGCAGTCTCCGTGGCTCTTCATAGCACTCCTCCCGCAGCTCTCCACAGCGCTCCTCCCGTAGCTCTCCATAGCTCTTGTTTGCGCTCCTCCCATAGCGCTCTCCATAGCTCTTCCCGTAGCTCAGGGTTTCCGTATCGCCCCTTCCCATAGTGCTGCTCCCCATAGCGCTGCTTCGTAGTGCTCCTTCCCGTAGTGCCCCTTCCCGTAGTGTTGCTCCCCATAGCGCTCCTTCCCGTATGGCTGCTCCCCATAGCGCAGCTTCGTAGTGCTCCTTCCCGTATCGCCCCTTCCCATAGTGCTCTCTTCTTCCAACTTTGCACGCGGACGGGATTATGGCGACATTCATTCGTAATCAGTCGCCGAAGGATGGCGCGGAAGATGCATGGTCGGAGGTGCATAACAAAGCAATCAGTGGGCGGCGTATAGTTCCAGGTTGTAGGGGCAGATTCATTGTTTTTTTTTTCCTGGCGTACGTAGTAGAACAAGCGCCCCCCCCCCCGTCCCCCCCGCGAGAGGGACTTCCTTTGGCGCGCCCACTCGGGAACCTCCACTCTCCGCGTAGGAAGTGCGCGCATAGCATGTGACGCCAAGGCGTCAGTTTTTTGTCGGTCGAGGTGACAGGCGCACTCTCCGATTCGGAGCATTTTGGAAACCATCGTTGCAGGCTGGGCACTCTCCACCAGAGGAGAGTGCTTTTCGAGGGCGGGTCCGGACAGGTACCCGAGGGTTTTTGGGTGGTGGAATCGGATAGTTAGTGCAGCCATGAGAGAACTCTCTGATTTCGGAGCGTGGACAGTAGGGTGTCGCCGTGCGCGCACAGCAGAGAGAGTGGTAGCTCGACTACCGGAAGGCGCCCCAAGCGTGCGCGCCGTTGGCGTGGGACTCAGCTCCTCCTAAAACCGTTGCAGGCACTGATTGACGTAAGATCTAAAGGCCGCTCCTACTTCGTGCATAGCCCTGCGTGGCGATGGCACAATAAAAGACTGGTCGATTGCTCGATTGATTGATTGGTTGATTGATCGATCAACTGCTTGGGCGATTTTGACTGACTCCTTGATTCACTGATTGTTTGGTTGATAGGGTGATTGTCGGTTGATTCAGAGGCTGATTGATTGGTTATTTGGTTGGTTGATTGGAATGATTCACTGGTTGATTGGCTGATCAATGGCTTGGTTGATTGGCCACTAATGCCATAGGGGAACCTGCAACTGCATTGACACCTAACTCTGGTTTCTGCTTGTGTCAAGAGAGAGGACAACATACTCAGATTCGAAGGCTTTTCGCATTTCAAGGCGGACAATTGATCAGTTGATTTGAATGGCCCTATTGATTGATCAGGTGATTGATCAGTTGATTGACTGGCCAGCCGATAGCCGACATATTATCTTGATTAATTTGATAGATTTTCGACCGGCTTATTGATCGGTTGATCGATTGGTTGCTTGGCCGACAAGGCGATAGCCGGTATATTAGTTTGATTGAACTTCATCGGCTGGTTCCTCGCTTCGACATGGTGATTCAATGAGCTCGCTCTCCACACCACCACTTATTTATGCGGAACGACATTCGATTGACGGACTGACGGCCCTTTTCTCCAGCGCTTGCCAGCTCGGATTCCTACCTGCCAAAGTCTACCTTGATTTCCGAGATACCACATCACTCTCTCTCTCTCTCTCTCTCTCTCTCTCTCTCTCTCTCTCTCTCTCTCTCTCTCTCTCTCTCTCTCTCTCTCTCTCTCTCT